GAACAACATATTGCAACAGAATGAATATAGAAGCAGATGTCAGAAATCAGGTATCTTCTATTAAGCCAGATAGTAAAGAGACTTGCAAATATATAAAACAATGCTACACTTCTGCCCTCTACCCAGGCCCAATTTTTTGTTTGGGAAAGTATGCTTATTTTTCTTCCATAACAATATGATATTTATGTAAAATGTAATGGGTTTATTGTGATTGAGGTGTTGTTAAAGTTATTAAATATATAAACATTTTCAGTTCTGATTTTGATACAGGAAATACGGACATGTATAACCCACAGAAACTAAAAACTCTTTGGGTTCCTCAGTACTTTTTAAGATTGTCAGAGTCCTGTGACCCAAAGATTTCAGAACTTCTGCTGGACTGGATAAATTAGGATGTTCTGAGGTGGAAATAACAGGAAACCCATCTAAAAATGGCTAAAAATCATAAAAATAGTATTACATAAAATGACCTCCTGAGGTTTGGGATCTTTGGAGTGGAGTCATTTGAGGGTTGAATGATGTCTTCCAGTGGCCAGGTTCTCTGTGTCTTGTGAGCCTTCCCTTTGCAACGCATTAAGCAGTTTGACTCATGGAGTCTAATGGCTGCTGAAGCTCCAGCCATCACAGACTCATCCATGACTATCCAGAGGCCCAATTATGATAATTTCCTCCCTGCTTTCCTATTTTATGAGCAAAAAATTTCCTTCTAGAGGCCACCAGCTGATTTCTTTTTCCTGATTAACACACAGACCCTTACTAAAATTGATCCGGTGAGGCCGCATGAATCCTGGAAGAAAATCCCAGCTGTGTCCACAGCGTGTAAGAAAAAAATGGTGGTTGAAGGGTAACCAATTGCATGTGCAATAAATCCTTTGCTTATTTCTGTATCAAGTTGCTTACAATTGAGGTTCTTTATATATTAGTATGTCAATCTTTATCAACACAGAAATATGGATATATAATTGCAATTGTGATAGACACCCACACGTGTATGTGTGTGGTGTGTGTGTGTGTGTGTGTGTGTGTTGCAAGCATTTTCTCTCATTCTTTTGCTTGCTTTTCCAGTTAATTTTAGGGCCTTTGTCACACAAACGTGTTGCACAATCAAATTGGCTGCCGTGTCCTTTTCACAGGAGCGCAAAGAAGAGGCCACCTTCGGCCGACCACCCCTACGGTGGAGGTCACAGGGGCCCCTCCCCACAGCTTCCTGGAGACAATGCGCCCTGCAGCCCAGCAATGCCCACGGCGGGTTTAAAAATGGCCCTAGCCTTTGCTCAGGGGTCAGGGAGGATCGCCTGTGGCTTCCTGCCCTGGGCCCTGCTTTCTGAGCCCGTAGCTGGAGAAGTAAGGAGTCTGATGGTGTGACCTCTGTGGAAGTTTGTGTTGGGAGCCAGAGGCGCACTGCTGGGAGGTCTTAAACCTCCCAAACAACTCTGCAGGGACCGCATTCTCTCCGGCGGCTGCCCCTCTGCACTTTGTCCAAATACCAGAAATCCGAGTGCTGGTTGTCCAGCCTGAGTGTGCAGAGGGGTGCTTGTTAACACAGGGTATCTGCCCCCCAGACTGAATTTCCTGATGATGGAGAGTTTGCTGGGCCTGAACGTGTTCATTTCTCAGAACTCCCAGGGGAGGCAGCTGCTGCCAGTCTAGGAGTGACCAGGGCTTGCTCTGAAAGCAAAAGATGGCAGGGAGTACTTGGAGTTAAGCACAGCTAGGGGGACCTGCTGGTGTAACCTGCTCCGTGGTGGGGGGGTGGGAGGTGAGGAGCCTGTGCCCTGGGCAATGCTCATTTCTTGCTGGGGCACCAGCCACCTGGTCTTCTTTCCTGCTCTCCTGGGAGCTGCAGTGAATTGTCAGTGTCCCAAGGAAACTTCCACTTTGGGGGGCTTCTATCTCAGGGGGGAAAGCATTACAGGGCGTTGGTTCAGGGGTAGCGTGGACGGGATGAGCTGTTTTGTGGCTTGCGTTTCAAACATGGCATCGAAGTTGCACCCAGCTTCCCCCAACCCAGCAGGAAGGTGCCACCAATCCCCAACCCAGAATGTGTGCCGTGGAAACCTGCCAACCGCTCTGGGTGATGCGATCCCCTCCTGCCCTCAGCCGATTCTCATTCTGAAGACCCCCTATCAACACCGGGAGGGATGCTCCTGGCATCTGGGGGGTGGAGACACCCTACATTGCACAGGATGGCCCCCAGGACCACAGAGACGTCAGCTCTGAGGAGCGAAACGCCAGGATGGTGCCTGGTGCCAACTAACTTTTGCTCCTGGTAAGATGCCCAGCGGTTTCTGAGCAGCTTGGAGAGATGTCAGCCAGGCAGGGGTAGTGGGAGGCTGGAGGCAGCCTTCTCTCTGCCCCGCTAACCCGCTACCCTTCTAACAAGCCCCTCCACAGAGAGGGTCCATGTGGGATGGCAGACCCATGGCTGGGCTTGAGGCCTGTTTTCTTGATCAGTCCATGGGGAGACCCCTGGAACAAACTTAGGGATGCTGTGGGGGCAATCGTGGAAGGTGGCATGGCCCCATTTCTTTTCTTGGGACCTGACAGAGGTTCAGCTCATGGTTGGCCTCCACCAAGAAGGTTCTGTCTTGCCACAGGGCACAGTTTCTCAACAAGGGCTGATTGGCACCCAGAAACCATGGGACAATGTCTGGAGACGTTTTCGACTGTTGCAACTGGGTGGGAGGGCTTCTGATTGCTGGCATCAGGGTGTCAGCCCTGGGGTGTCACTAACGAATCTGGCTGGTGGGTCACTGGTCACCAAGGAGACAATCTGGGGATCTCAGCCTCTGTGCATGAAGGAGGAAGGGCGATGTGGGTCATTTCTAAATGCTTCTTGTTGGAAGCTGTGGCCGCTTTGCTTAGGGTGTGTGGAGACAGAGGCTGCAGAGGCCTGGAAGTCAGGGGGGCCTCCTGGGGCCCCTCTCCTGTTGCAGGAAAGCTGACAGGGGATAGGCCACCGGGGCACTGTCTGCAGAAGGGGTTCCCCACTGGATCTGTCTCAGATCCTGGTGCTTGCTCCAGCGGTTTGGGGGCTACAGGGGTTTCTAGGAGCCTGCTGCAGGTATTTTATGGTACCCCAAATGAGTTGAGCATGTGCACACAGCCCACGGGAGCAGGGGGCGTTTGAGAGGTCTATGCCCTCTCTCTGCTGAGAAAGAGGGGAGATACTTCCACCGCACAGCAGACATGCCTTCTGGAGATGGCCAGTGCAGAAAAGGTCACTCTGAGGAGGCGGGGCCCTGCACTCGTGTTTTGTACATGACCTGGATGCGATTTCTCAACAGCTCTGGGTCCATCGGTGACGTGGACCAGAAAACACCGCCGGAAACTGTCTGCCAAGGCTGCCTGCTCTCTCCCCAGGGTGCTGCCTCTGTGGCTAGGTGTCCCTAGGACCTGACGATCTTTCTCCTTGGTCTCTCCCCTTGAAGCCCCATCTTCTCCAAGGCAAGGAAGCTCCGATGGCTTCTAAGCATGAAAAGGGGTCTCACTGTGGGAGCTTATCATAAAGGGGATCAGACAGAATTTAGCAACGCCCTGCTCTGGGGGACCTTTGTTCTTGGAAAGTCTGAGACTGGATGGATAATGAGATCGGACATTGGTGATGTCCTCTCGGCATGTTTAAAAGCATCTTGTCTCACTTCTTGAGACTAAATCCTATCAGTTATCAAAATGTGAGCTGTGGAACCCTGAGGAGGGGGGGGTGGTCCCTGACACCCGGAGGTCTGGGTGGGGGCAAAATGTTTTTCATGGCAATGAAACGAGATCTGTGGATGTCTGCATCCATGTTGTAGAAGCTGCAGAGGTGAGCTTTACCTGGATGGTTGGCTGGTTTACTGCGGAGGTGACCCTGAACAGTAGCAGTGCCCACGGTCCATGGGACTTACACGTCTCCTGGCACTTGCAATCTGTTGCACTGAGATGGTCCACAGAGATCGGATTGCTTTTGTTACACTCCTGTGTGGCCCCAGATGAGGGCTGCTGCCTCCCCAAGCTTCTCTCCGTCACCTGGCCCATGCCTGTCTCCCTCCCTGACTCTCCATGGCTCACGGGTCCCCTGCCCAACAGGCAGGCAGCTCTAACTCTTGCTGTGCGTTGTTGTCCTGACCCTTTCCGGTGTGTGTCCAATAGGGTCACCTGTCCAGGACACCATCTCTGTACCTTTCACCATACCCAGGGTGTAGTGGACGTTTCACATTGGAGGCTCTGGGGTTGCCCCTGAGCTGCCCAAGTCTTTTGCTCGCGCAGTTCTGGACAGTGGGCTTGAAATACTCGCCGACGTTTGACCATCAGAACAGTCCACATGATAAGGGGGACACACGGTAAGGGCCGCCCACCCTGGTGGCACCCTCCGCCCTCTCCCCAGACACTGCTGCAAAGCGGATCTCAGCCCCACTGCCCCTCGGCCCCCAAGAATGGCCCCTTTGACCTTCCCCCCAAAAGGCCCTTCTGGCTCCGGGCTTGGAGGCTCTGACTCCGTATCTGCAGGGGGACCCTGGCAGGCCCCTTACGTGCGGCTCTGGGGCTCTGCAGGTTCAGAAGGGGCTTGCACGCCAAAGGCCGGGAGGCCGGCTTTCCCCTGAGCGCACGTGCCGGCGCATTCCCCCATGCGTGCACGCATGGACACTCGCACACCCTCCTGCGTCCGCGCGGTCGCCTGCTCACTCGCTCACGCGTGCACCCGCATCCCCGCACGGACACACGTGTGCGCCCGCGCTCACCCGCCCCTGCCCGCGTGCAGCAGCCGAGGCTGCACCGCCCAGGGTTGGCAGCGCTGGCCTCGCGCGCGGCCGGTGGGCCCGCGACAAACATTTGCTTTGGGGCCGGCGGGTTAAAGGTGAAACGCGCGAAGCCCGAGGCGCGCGCTCCAGGCCCCGGGGGGACGGGCGGACGGGGGGCGCCCCGGGGCGCCCCCCAGCGTCTCCCTCCCGGTAGCCGGGGAGCCCCCGGCGCGCAGGCGTGGCGGGCGGGGCGGCGGCGGAGACCCGCGCCCGGCGGCCGGGCGGGGAGGGGCCGGGCTTCCGGCGGGCGGCCAATCGCTGCGCGCCGCCCGCGGGGCCTCCCTGCGCCGGCCGGGCCCGAGCCGCCCACGGCTCCGGAGGTGCGGCGGGTGCGGGGCCACGGGGGCCGCGGAGGGGGCGCCGGCTGAGTCCCTTGGCTTCCCGAGCGCGGAGGGGGCACGGGGGGCAGG